AAATGTAAAATTGGAATCCGGACAACAAAAAATGTTTGCGCTAATTTTGAAAGTTTATCACTTTTTTTTTTTAATAATTCTATTGGCTTATATTTAAATGGTTATTTGTAAATTGATTTTAAAATCTAACTTAAAAAACACATATAACAATATTGGCACTTGCGGGGAATTCTAAAGATCATACTAGATATGCCCAAATAGCGGTTTCGAGCCACAATTTTGAAGGCCTTGAACCAGATCAAAAACATATACGGATGGCATGAACCGCCGTTTCCAGTTCGAAGTCGGCCTGATGTTTAAAAATTACAAATAACCTACCCCCTTAAACCACGGGCTCAGTTAAAGACCCGTTGACCACAGGCCAATTCGGTGGACCTATGGTCATGTCTAAATTATACTGCTCGATTTATCATCATAATAGTATTTAGATAAAGATATACAATTTACATTAATAATAACATCAGGAATTCTAACAATTTATATACAAGTCGACTTATCATAGTTTATGAATATATTTATCTATCAAGGTTGCCAAAATCGGTTTGGACCAGCCGGTTCGATCGAGAACCGGCTACACCGGTCCGGTTTGAGGCATGGAACTGCTGAGGCTCGAAACCGGTCAAAAACCGCCAAAACCGTTTGAAGTGAATAAGATTTCATTCGGGCTCCCTCAACTCGGCTGGCCACCGGACCTGCAAGAACCCAACGCCGGGAGGGTTCTCGGCGTCGAGCCTCCGACGCTCAAGTTAGTATCACTCCAAATCCCAAGAGTATAATTATGAATGTCGAGAGAGTGAGAGAATGAGATACCTTAGCCCCCTTTTATAAGGGAAGTGTACCTTATGGCCCAAGTTAGGTGTTTGTCCCATTTTTGTTTCGTTTTTCGCTATTATTTTATGTTTCTTTTTCCCTATGTTTAAGTCTTTCATTTGGTTTTTAGTCCGTTTTGTGTCTTGTCATGTGTTTTCCTTTGTTTTGTTTGATTTAGGAGTTCTTGTTTTTTTTTGTCTCGTTTTTGGTGTGCAGGTCAGAAGCTTTGGGAGGACAGGATTTATGGAAAATATTGTCTAGGCATGCATAATTTAATAGAGGAGTTTGTTGGCGACGTGTGGGAAAAAGCGGAACTCAATTCCGAGTTCGGACGAACTCAAACAAGCCCGAGACGTGAAGTCGCGCAAGCTGCCCAGACCTTAGCGCCGCTAAGGGGTTAGCGGCGCTAAGGGTGAAATACTAGCTGCGCTATGGTCGCTAGCGAGGTGCTAGCGACGCCAGAGACTTTCAGGCTAATTAGGGGTTAGCACCGCTAAGGTCCAGTTTTAACAAATCGCGATTTTCATGGATTTTGAAATAGGAAGGCTATTAGATCGAGTGAGGGCTGTTTTTAGAGCACTCTCCGACCTTGTATTTCGATTTTCTTCACCTTGGAACATATTCTCTCTTCTCTTTTAACTTGGATTTGATTTTGGAGAGTATAAACTCCATTTTATCTTCTAGATTTGGATTGCTTGTGGGATTCGACATTGAAATTCGTATTAATCGTAAGCTTTTCTATTTCTTTAATCCATGAATATGTTCGTCTTGATTTTTGGGATTGTTTTTGTTGAATCGATTATGAGTAGCTAAATCCATATGCTAGGGAATTAGGAATGATGTTTTGATTTCGATTGCGATCGTGGTGATTCGTTGATTGTTCTTCTTATGCGAGTTGATCGTTTATAAGGGTTTTCAATTATCGTTCTTGAATATTGAGAATTGTTGAAGGGTGACACTTCAATTCCCAATTGTTTCAATTGAATTTTATTTATTCATGCATGAAGTTGGTGATTCTATTTGATTAGTCGGTTAACCACCCTCTAGTATATATTAATCGACTCTTAGAACCGAAAGGGGAGGAGTCGGTCGAAATAGACTCGTATAAGCTAGGCTTGTTCGTAACTGTATTGCCTAAGTGTTAAATGACTTGTTAATTTATCGTTCAAGTTTGTTCTCTTGTTACGAAGAGTTATTGAAGACGAGTACTTGAACGAGCAGGTTATTCAAATCACTTAACCGAATAATCACTTGCCCATTAATTGCAATTCGAACCAAAATGGATATCCCCGACTCCCTAGCTTCTTAAATCTTACTTGGTCTTCGTTGTTGCTTGCTATTTCTATTGTTTAATCTGAATTTTCGTAGTAGTGATAATTAAAACCAAAACCAATCTCTGAATTAGTATGTTTCGAATTTTTATTTCTTTTACTTGTGTTTGAATAAACGTGCATAATAATCTGGCTAACCTTCCTCGAGAGACACGACACGGTGTTTGAATCTTTTGATTCTATTCCGGTAAATATATTAACAACAAATTGGCGCCGTTGCCGGGGAGGGTTTAGGACGTATTTTGTGCGCTTATTCACTTTATTTTTATTTTTATTCTTATTTTTATTTTTTTTATTTCCTTTTGTGTTTCTCTTATTTCTTGTGATTTCTTGTTTCGGTGTTTCTCTTTGTTTTTCCTATCGTGTCTAGTTGTTAGCTCTCTCTTTGCCTTTTGTTTTCATTTATTTTCTCTTGTTTACCATTGGTGCTTGTAACCCCTTTTGTTGTTTGAGTGTATGCGTACCAGGAGTGGACATATACTAGCACCGAACGACAAAATCAATCCCGAGAAGTTGAGTGAGCTGTTTGACAAACTCAGCCTCGATTCATCCGAAACCACCAAACCAGAGATGGCTCAACCCATGATCGGGCCAATCACTTCATGCATCCGGTTGCCACAAGAAGCTCGGAACTACGAGCTTAAGATGATCCACTACGATCAGATCCCATCATCCACGGGCTCCCCAACAAAGACCCACTCTACTTTCTTTGGGAGTTTTACAACATTTTCCAGACGTTCCCTCTACACGAGCTGAACGAGGACCAACTCAAAATGCGGTGTTTCCCAGAGACTCTGAAGGACCGAGCCAAGGCTTGGTTCATGACCCTCGCCCCGGATTCTCTAACAACTTGGGCCGAAGTCTACTCGAAATTTGTCGGGAAGTATTATTCCCATCAGAAGACCCAAGACATCTGGTCCCAGATAGTCTCTTTTGCTCAACTGCCAAACGAGCCTCTTCACGAGGCTTGGGAACGTTTCAATGACCTCCAGAGGCAGTGCCCCCACCACAACCTCGCTCCAGGGCTATTAGCGAATTGCTTCTACGATTCCCTCAACCAGAACCTGCAGTACATGGTGGATATTGCCTTCGGAGGTGACATCGGGGCGAGAATGGCAGAGGAGATGATGGTGATATATGAGACAATGAGTGCTAACTCATCTCAGAAGGGCGTCCGAGGGAAGAGGTCTACAGTGAATGAGGTTGGTTCGAGTAATAATGCCATGGCCCAGCAGTTAGCCGAGCTCACAAAGCAGATGCGGCTACTGAATGCTCGAAGTTCCTCGCCGATTCAAACGATGGCCGTAAATTCTTATGGAGCATGCAGAGTACAGGGACACAATTTTGAGGTGTGCCCTATGGCTATCAAGCCGAACTATGGAGGGCAACGAGCTGAACTGAATGCAGTGCAAGGATATCAGAACAGGCCCGGGAATGACCCGTACTCTAACACATATAATCCTGGATGGAGAAACCACCCAAGCTTCTCTTGGTCGAACAACAACTTCTAGTAGCCACGTTAGCCTAACTTTGTCCCCCATCAGCAGCAACATAGAGGACAAATGTTAAGGCTGCCAGCACCAGAAACCGGACCAACCTCACTGAGCATGGACGACAAGCTAGACAAGATTCTCAATTTTATCACCAACCAGGATGCTTCCAGTAAGCGTCTTGAGACACAAGTGGGCCAGCTAGCCACACATGTCGGGACCATCGAGACTGAACTGAACAGAGGAAAGTTGCCGAGTCAGCCCGAGCATGCAAATGTGGTGACTGTGATTATGCCCGAAGAGGAGAAAGGAGAAAATGAGGGCCCGAATGAGCAAGGGAGAACAGAAAAAACCCCAGTGACACCACCACCCGAGCCTACTTTACACAAATCCCCAAATGCTTACAGATCGAGAATCCCCTTCCCTAGCCGACTCTTGGAGGAGAAAGACCGCAGAATGGTTCGGGACCTCCATGCGATGTTGGATAAGGCCAATGTACACCTATCTCCTCCCGAGGTGTCGAAGAAAATACTGGCTCATGCACGATTCTTCAAGGAAGTGGCCACGAATAAAAAGCGGTTTGACGACGATGATAAGGTGATAATTTGTGAGGCGGCAAGTGTCTTCCAGCACGACTTGCCGAAGAAAGAAAGAGACCCCGGTGGTTTTGTGATCAACATAGCTTTTGGGAGTGGACAAAATGTTTCGGGGATTCTTGATCTCAGAGAAGGCATTAATCTTATGCCACTCGCGGTTTATCATCGGCGCGGGCTCGGAGAATTGAAGCCCAGCAAGATGCGCTTACAGCTTGCAGATCGTTCATTCCGTCACCCCGTAGGGATTGTGGAGGATGTGCTCGTCCGAGTGGGGAAGCTGATAGTCCCCGTGGACTTCGTTGTGCTCGATGTGGGGAACGTCCAAGACAATGGTAAGGAGGACGCCGTCCTCCTGGGGCGACCCTTCATGGCGACCACAAGA